TCATCTAGGACAATATAAGTGATTCAAGCATTTCTAGTAGACTTTCTTGATATTTAAGATCACTTTTAGAACTCTTGCTGGATTTTAAATACGGATGAAAAAAAGCAGCACCCCTCCATCCCCCAACACTCTGGGTTTTTTGGGTTTTTTTTTTGTTGTTGTTCCAAGCTGTGGGTGCTACAGCTAAAGCAGCTCTGTACGTGCTGGATGTTCAGGGGTCTGCATCTGTCTTTATTTGCGGGATGAGGCTTTTCACAGGGAGCACCTTGTTTGTTTCTGTGATGAAAAAAGTCCGAAAGACTGTTTGTTTGAATCCAAGAACTTCTCCCATTATGAGGTTACAAAGTGTTCAGTAGTCATCTTTTTTTAATCGGGATTCATTCAGAAAGAGCTCAGATGCTACCACTCTTCTGTTTAACATGAGGTTTTAATGCAGAGGCCTCTCAATATGATGATGCCTTTGAGAGGCAAGTTCTACAGTCTTGCTCAAGTGGACGGTTAAAAAGCTTTTTCTGGCTATCTTGAGAAATGGAGTATTGCTTTAAATTACTTGTGGTATGAATGCATATAGGGACCATCATTTAAGGCAACGGATTAAGTGGAGTTACTGACCTGTAACTGTCTTTATTTCTTTATGAAATATGTCAGATCAGCTTGGGGAATGTTAATGGAAAATGTCAAGCCACTTTCACTTTTTTTTTTTTGGTTGTGTGTGAATTAACTTCCACTGTATTACTTGATTTTACAAATGTAGGTAATTTTTTTCTTCACAATAACTTTAAAGACATGAAAGGAAAAGTATTATCTAGCTAATTTATTACAAAATTCTGAATTGTCATAATTTTAGTTTAATTAGAATTAAGGTAAGTACTTTGTTGCCTGTTTGCCTTAGTTTAAGCCATAAAACAACAGGTAAACTATGTGGTCAACAATATGGCCATTTTAGACTTGCTTCTGTGGCATGTTCTGGAACTTCTGAATTTCCTAATGCTGGTGTGTATAAATCCTCAGCTTTAGTTGTTGTCAGTTGAATCTACTGCACAGATCTGAAAAAATCATTAGTAATTTCTGTTTTCATTTGGCAACTCAGTCCATTTTGATACCACCACCAATCTATCTGACTGTCCTGCATCTCAGAGTGAAAGCAGAGATTTAACTGCTACAAGGTCACAGCTGCAAGCAGCACCTTTCCTGATGTGTAGTTAAAAAGCCTTAAGCTTTCTTACCTTGTCATCCTTCTTTATTCCTCCCTCTGGTAGTCCTAATTCACCTCAATGTCTGCTCAGCCATTGCATCAGATGCCTGGATTATGGAAATCGTTACAAGGATTTATGAATACATTTAGATGCAATATTACTAACCAGCTTGCCTTTTCCATGACTTTTCAGAGATACCTCTCATAAACAGGAGAAAAGTCAGTTTTGAGTCTGGAAAACAATCAGTTCTTACCCACCTCAGGATTCTGACAGACTGACACATAAAAAGGAAAAAAAAAAATCCCACGCATGACTGTCAGTTTAAGGGGGCTTTAGGCACAGGCAGGAAATTTCTGGCTGAAAGGGCATAAAGGGGCAAGCAATAATCACAATTGTTGTTCCTGTTTGGAAGCAGAGGTTCTACTTTTCCTGTATCTTGATGACCATTTGGTGGATCCTCACAGGAGTAGACTTGCTACAAATTCACTCTGATCTTAGGAAACATCACATTTTACACTTGTCAGTGATAGTCTGACAGTTTTACTGGAGCCACACTCATCTTTGGGCAAGGCTGTTTCTATATGGAAGCTTTCCATGGAATCAGAGGACCTCTTTTTTTTTTTTTTTTTTTTGTGTTGAGCTGAAGGACCACCCTTTTTTGTGACTGCAGGTATCTCTCTCTCGGGATGCAGGGCTACTTCTGTTTGGCATCCTCAATGCCAAACATAATTTTTAGATTTGTAGCTTGACTTTGCCACTCTACTTCCAAGAGCATCCTGCCTCTGCAGATATTCCACAGGTATTCTGTATCATGAAGGAGTCCTCTTTGCGTTTTTATAGGTGTACCAGTTCATGATTTTTCTTGACTTGCTTCAGTGGTATTGGATGTCTCCATCCTGGGATAGAATCATAGAATACCAGGATGGAAGGGACCTTAAGGATCATCTGGTCCAACCTTTCTTGTCAAAAGCAGGGTCTAGACAAGATGGCCCAGCACCCTGTCCAGCTGAATCTTAAAAGTGTCCAATGTTGGGGAATCTACTGCTTCCTGGGGGAAATTATTCCGATGGCTGATTGTTCCATTGTGGAAAAATTTCATGTTGGTGAAAAATTTTCCTCTTGTGAAAAATTTCTCTCTTGTAATAGGGTTACCTATCAATTTTGTACTCAGAGGTGGGAACCTGTGTGAAGCTCAGATCTGTCAAGATGGCCTGCAAAGTTTCTTGCTGTAAATTCAGGGCCGCTACATGCAAGTAATATTGTATGTTAATGAATAAGACAATGCCAGTTCCTCGTTTCTATACCTTGTGCTTGAAAAACTTTGTAATTAGATTACCAGGCAGTTTCTGGAGGACCTACGTATGACCTGCTTTCATGTTTGCACTCTGGAGTGGGATTGAGCTTGGGCTTCCTGTCAGATGCCTACTGGGTGGAAGTGCTCTGGAGTGGAAGTCTGGTGGACATTCTTCCTCTAGTGCCTCTCCACCTGAACGTAATGCCTGCCTAACTCAGAAAGCTCTAGTTTGGGATTTTCTTCAGTTTCTCAGCAGAGGATCCTTTGTCTGCTTGTTTTATCTCTTGAGGCAGGATTCAATACAGATCCTGCATCTGGATTTAGCTGCTCCAGCTTGGATGCAGAATGGCTTTTGTTAAATGAAAGGCTTGGGTTCTCCACTGAGAGATGTTCTCATTGTCAAAAGAAAATCTGTACCAGAGAGAAACTTCATTCAAGTTTCAGGTTAAGACTCAGTACTATATCTGGTGTTAGTTCAGGTCCAGGCTATTGAGATACTTACTTGGGCTTGAAGAATCTGGCTTTGTCCAGTAATTCTGCCAAAAGTACGTCTGTTGGTTATTTCTGTACCTATTATGAGAGCTCACTGGTGTTCTCACCCTTCTAATTTAAACTATGAGCACCCCCTTTCCTCAGGATACCTGACAAAAGTAGAATTTAAACTGAGCATTTATGTGTCTTGTGATTACTCATTTTGAGCGTGTGCACGCCAGTCCATAGTACTCATGCCAGTGTAGGTGGCTTCTCTCATTGCTTTTGAGTAACACGGTATCTTGGATGTGTGCATTTCGTGTCCATCTCCTACTTGCTTTCCCTCCATCCTTGCAGTATTTAATGTCTTCCTTTGAATTACATGTTGAGAAAAACTGAGTATAGAGGGGGCTTGCATTGGCTTCTGTGGGGG